CTGAAAGTTTATTTATAACAAGAATTTCTGTATGTACCGAAATAAATGCCAGGCCAAAGTTGCAGTTCTTTCGAATACAGCAGACATGTCAAAACGTTGCAACTAATCTGTTAAAAGATTTGGTCTGGTAAATAAAAATATAGTTTCCTTTTGTTGCATTATTATGCACTTTTCGTTGTCCATTTGCATTTAAATTTGGTCTCGTAGTTTTCTGTTTAAAACTCTTCCCCTCAAAGCAAGAAACATAACAAAGACGGTGCAAATTAGTTTTACTGCATCAATAGATTGAGTGTCTCTAATTTGATATAATGTTTGGTTATTTCTAAATTATATTCTAAAAAATATGCGTTATTCCAAATAAGGTTAGTTTATTCTCATATTATGTTAATGATTTTCAAACGAGGTTGGTTATTTTATTTCTTTTTAAAAAATGTTGGTTATTCTATAATAACACTGGTCATTTCTAAAAATGTTGTTTCTTCTGAAATAATACTCATTAACAAATACACACATTTGCTACCAAATAATATTCTTAGTATTTAACAGTCCCTCCCACACACTCGAGGGTGTATATGGCACAAGGCCGGTTTATTGTGGGTATTCCGAGCCCGTAGGCTCGGCCAAAAATATTCCCTTTGAACCCGCCTAAACGGGTTCAGGGACTGTCTACCTCCCCGGACGAAACTTTGCACTGCGGCAAAGCCTCGTCCAAGTTCCTCTCTGCTCGAGGCAGAGAATATGACAGTTGAACAGGCTATGGCACTGTTCACTATTGTGAATAATATTGTTTATTTCCAAATAATATTGATTATTCTCAAATAATATTGATATTTTCTAATATCGTTGGATATTTCTAAATATTATTAGCAATTCTCAAAAATATTGGCTATCCTAAAATAATGTTTTATTTTCAGACAATATTGATTATTCTCAAAAAAAATTTGTCTATTCACAAATAATGTTGTTTATTCCCAAATACTATTGTTTATTTTCAAACAATGCTAATTAGTCTCAAATAATATCTTTTATTGTCAAATAAGACCTTTATCCGATCGCTTTCACCACACTTGTTTTATGCAGCCAGTAAAACACCGGCACTAAAATTCGCAAAAGTTCTCATTTGTTCGATCGCCCAACGTTTAATTATTTTGATTTTTACGGATTATCAACCCATTATGGGTTATCTAAATTTGAAACATATTTCAGATTGTAAGAGGCCACTTACAGTACCCAGTGGCTCCAAGAAGTCTCCCATGTAAAGAAGGACCCAACTCAACACTGCTTAACTTCGGTTATCGAACAAGAACCTCTATTTTACAGCACCGGTCATAAACAGAAACTTTCCTATAACTGTATAAAAGACATTTTTCTTCAGAAATATGCGATCATGAGCCTCCATATCTTCCTCTCATTTTGTAGCTCTTAATAATTTATGTATTTTTGTTATTTTTCACAAACCATGTTCTGCCATTCATCTCAAGCTCATCAAGTGTGTTACGCGCTGCTTTCCTTTGTTCCTCTTTTTCTTTATCTGTCCTGTGAGTATCATATTTTCCAGGTCCTCTTTCCTCGTTACGTGCCACAGAAATTTCAACTGCTTCTTCCTGATGATAAGAAAAGTTTCCTTTTTGTGTTCTTTTTCTGTTAAACCTCGATGTTTCTCAAATGTTCTATTCCCGGTATAGACTGCATTTTTCTGTAGAATTACATTTCTATTGCATCAAGTCTCTTCTTCATCTCTGAGGAGATTGTCCAGCATTCGCTGCTATATAAGAGGACATATATTACATAACAGTTTAATACTCTTTCCTTTGTTTCTAACGAATTTTTTCTGTCTCTTAATACTCTACTTAGCTTTTGGAAGGCATCTTTGATCATCCCAATAAATCTACGCATCTCAGTGTCGCCTCTTCCATCCTCTGTTAGAAAACCTTCCCAGATATTTAATTTTTTGTATTTGTTTGATTTTAGTATCCCCGATTTGCAATTTTGCATTTTACGCTCACCTTTTTGCTGATAGGCATGCATCTTGTTTTTTACGTTTTTTTTTTTTAAATTGAAATCACATCATAGTGAAAATTTTTATTTTCTTCTTTCATCAAATTTAGAATTCAAACAACAAAACGTCACCAATTCTTTAAAAAAGCATTCTGATAAAAGACAGAAGCATATAATTAAGATTTGCTAAGCTATCCCCGTCTGACACAAGACGCCAAATATGAGACAGCTGGTGAGAATCGACTCACTAATATTAGACCTATTGGAAGCTTGCGACTCAAAAAACCACAACAAATAAATACGTTTATAGCAATTGTTCTCATGAATGTTTCCCACGAAATTAAGCGTATTACTACACCGGTAGTTAGGTTTCATTATTTTATTGTTGAAATTGCTAGATATTGATATAAATTCTATGATCTCTATTCTCACACATTCGTGTTCGTGGAACTCTCTTCTGTCTCCTTTTTTCAGTACAACTTCAAACGTCATCTTCTCTCTCCTTAAAGCTTGTTCTTTTATTGCCCCTCTTTCCTCAATAGTCTTTTTTTTCGGTTTATTTCACTTTCAGTAACTCGTTTAGTTTAGTAGATCCCTCGCTTTACTTGGGGCTGAAATGATTAAAAAAAGAAATATTGCCTGACATTTTGAATGTATTTAGTTCAAACTAAATGTTCTTAATTCCAATGATGGCAAAATAAACTTTTTTGTTATTTAGCCAATACATATCAAATTGTTCATGCTTCTTCCTCGCCAGTAGAAACTATTTTTGAAAATTCTTCGTGATAATTTATAAGTGTATATTAGTGAAATGTCTAGAATGTCCTTAACTTTTTATGATTGATAGGATTCTAGTTTTTGTTTGATTTATAAAAGTCGATAGCAGTAATTTATAATTGAGCTTTTTTGAACGTAATTAGAATGAACTTTAAGGTAATACAAAAAAACAACAATATTATATTTTTGTTTTCTAGATCATCTTTTACACATTAGTGAGTAAAATATCTGTTCAGGTAAAAGCACGAAGAATCCGAGTGTTCGATTTACATCAAAATACAAAGGAAATAAATGAAGTAAACTTATGAGAAACTAAATTAAATGACAAGAAATCTGTGCAAAACTGTAAAAGAATTTAGAGAAAAAATATATTATTTAAAAGGTAGGCGGAATTAAATAAAAATTGCCCTCAACTAAACATAGATGTATAAAACAGAAGAGATTATTTGAATATATTCGAATAAAGAAGAAAATGACAAGGAAAGAAAAAAATGATCGAAAAAAGAAAGAAAAGGGAAACGACTGAAAGATAGACACAAATAAAGAAAGAAAGAATTAAAAAAATACAGAATAAAAAAAAACAAGAACTAAAACATAAAAATAGAGAAATAAAGAAATAAAAAAAGGAATAAAAAAGGAATAAAAGAAAGAAAGATAGAAAGGAAGAACATAACAAAAAAAGGAAAAAAAGAAAGACAGACGGAATCAAAACCAGAAACAAAGAAAGAAAAAGAGAAAGAAAAACGAAAAAGAAAGAAAGAGATGTGGATGAAAGAAAGAAAGAAAGAAAGAAAGAAAGAAAGAAAGAAAGAAAGAAAGAAAGAAAGAAGCGAAGATGGATAAAAAAGAAAGAGAGATAAACAAGTGAGAAAGAAAGAAAAAATGGCTAAAAAGAAAGACGGCTAAAAGAAAGAAAGAAGGAAAGTTAAAATGTAAGACGGATAAAAGAAAAAGAAGGCTGGAAGAAAGAAAGAAAGAAAGAAAGAAAGAAAGAAAGAAAGAAAGACAGACAGACAGACGGTATCAAAAACGGAAACACAAAGAAAGAAAACAGACAAGAATATCTGCATTTAAAATATATTGGTACATTGGGAGAAACATATTTGTCAAAGGATCTACCAAAAGGAAACGCAATTCGCATGTGTTTTTTAACATAAAAATATAGGTCCTTGCTAGATTAGATAATCGTTATATTTATTTTTTATATGTTTACATTTGATTTGTAACCTGTAGTCGATATTAATTTTGTCAAATTTTCTTAATTACACAGCGGCCCTTTCAGTAAATGTCCTTCAGTTTTAGTTTCCTCCGCCCCATCTCTCTCCCCACCCCTTATTCTTTTCTTTTCCTTTCCCTCCCTCTTATTCTGATCTTTAACATTAGATCGTCTATGGTGTGTGTATGTCACCACGAAATGTATCTTCAATGTATTAGACATCCAACAACATTCATGTTTCTCTCAGTTAAACCTCTTCCACTCACCTCTCTAAAACTTCTCTCTGTTAAGGTTTAATCTCCCACCTTCCCTCGTCTGTTACCCCTCTCTTTAATTCTAAAATTCGTTCCACACACTCATGCTTACACTCTCTCTAAATTCTATTTTTATTTCCGGAGTTGTTTTTTCTGTGTTCTTTTTGAATTTGTAGGTCTGATGAATTGGATCGTATTTACGATTCCAATGGAATAAATTATGACCATGGAATATTAGTGTTTAAGCCTTTTTATTTTTTATATATATATATATATATATATATATATATATATATATATATATGTTGGTCTGTGTTGGGAGGTTCGCCACACATTCTGCGCTCAACACCGGCAACAACTAAAATGAATAGCATGTGCAATTGGAAGCGAAAATAATGACATAATCACGATGTTGACGTTTCAGACTACTTCAAAGAAAAGGTTAGGAAAAAATGTCCCATTGGCATTAGAAAGAGCGATAACTAATACTGAAAAGGAGATAACATTTTAGTAAAATTTTATACATTTCAACTAGCAACACTAGCACTATGTCGAGTGTTTCCATATAAGGAATTTACACACATATATATATATATATATATATATATATATATATATAAAAAATATATATATATATATATATATATATATATCGAGAGAAGATTGTAAGAGACAGTGAAAGAATATGATAGTGGGAGTGGGGAAGATAAGAGAGTGTGAGTACAGGAGAGAAAGTGAAAGTGTGTGAGACAGTGTTAGTTATAGAGAGTTAGCGAATGGGAGTGTGATTGGGTGAGTGATAGAGAGTGAGGGTGATCCAGGGCAAAGTAACAGAGAAACACGGAAAAATATTTGCGAGTGAGAATGAGATTGAGATTGTGAGATAGATAGATAGATAGATAGATAGATAGATAGATAGATAGAGAATGAACATATTTACATATGAATATCATGAGATTGAAATCACGTTTGTAGACTAGTGCTGTTAAGTGAAGAGCTATTGTATAAAAGTCTACAATATTTTCGAAGATAATCAAATATATTCTAACGCAGTCAGAGTCTTAAATTATATTTCTTTTCGAATTCATTCCATTTCTTCCTCTCTGATTCTCTCTCTCTCTCACCTTCTCAGATAGATAGACAGACAGACAGTGATAAATATGAACTGACAGATAGATAGATAGATAGATAGATAGATAGATAGATAGATAAAGAGGGACTGAGAGAGTGACAGAGATTATGAAGATAAACGAACCGAAACAGTTAAAAACAAAAGGACTATGGATTAAAACAGACATAAAATATATATAAAATCTTATATATATAAATTATATTATATTTGTATATAAAATATATATATAAATGAAAGAATCATCGAAAGACAATCGATAAAAGTTTATATATAGAAACGAATCGATGAAGGCTTCAAAAACAATAGCAGAAGACAAGAAAGAGTCAAAAAGTACAATGGGAAAAACAAAGAAAGAGAGAATGAACGAATAAATGATAGTGTTGAAAAAAGATAGTGAGAGAAATAGCATAAGAGAGAGTGAGTATGTAAGAGAGTATGAGAGAGAGACAGAGTATGAGAAGGAGATAGAGAAATAACGTGAAAGCGCCAAGACACGCTGGGGAGAAGGTGGAATGAGAGAGAGAAGAAAAGAGAAAAGCAAGAAAATACAACAGAATGGCTTCCGGAATAAAACGGTTAAAATGGCGAATAAGTTGAATGTTCTCGAGTGGCATGTAATAAAATTATACTTCCTGTCTAGAATTGGCCCGGCATAGACCATTTCGTAACTGCTAAATCCATAAACGATATGTCTGCGAAAATCGTCTATCGATAACTTTGGGAATAAAGCCATTATTCTCACCTCTAAAGACAATCAATGTCACACCCTCCACTGACGCTTTCCACCCTTGCTATACTGACTGATTTTCCTGTCATTTTCTTTTTGTATTTGCAGAAAAAAAAATAATGTTCATAGTTTTTTGTATGATTTGCTGTTATAAAGGAAAGATAGTAGAAATATTTGGTGGAAGGATTGTATCATACCAGTGGCTTAGTCTATTTAGTTCTATGGAACTGAAGATATTATTATATATAACGTGACTTTTTTTTTAGATTTATGCAAAAATAAAGTTGTCTGAAAACCAATCTTGATTTATAATTCACAGAGGCCATGAATTTCTGCACTATTGCGAGACATGTTGGGCACAGTAATACCTCAATCTATGATATCGTATAATTTCTGTGTTTGAATTCAATTCTTATTTTACACTATAACATATTGGACATTTTGTTTCATTATTACGCGGAAAGTTAAATCGTGAACCCCGTTCAAATTCTTTTTCACACTAATACACTCAGAAAAAGCATGAATACATCTATCCTCCCGGTACATGTCTGTGAATTAAACAACAGGGTAGAATGGGCATTTTTTTTTTCTTGCTAGTAAACATGTTAAAATAAAATAAACTATGAAGGCAATCCATCTTTAATCTGCAAAAATGTAAATGCAATGTCAATCGCTATCTACTTTCCTCCTGATTACTCTTTGATCTTCTCGCAGACTATTAATGTTTCTGTTTCTAATTTTTCCACACCCTGTAACCCTTTGTGCTTTAGTGACATTACTGCCTTACGATTAACGATTAAAAAAATCAACTCTAATCTGATGTTTCAAAAATTCAAAATTTTTACTTAATAATTTTTCCAAAGAAGAAAAATGATGGAAATTTGGATATAGGAAAGAGTAGACTTAAAGTCCTATTTTAATGAAAAAAGTAATATTTCTACATTTAATTCGGAAAGAAAGAACTGTATGCTCGTGTATACCTTAAACTTGGACAATGTTAAGCATATACTTTTTAGTCATTGCACCATCACGACTATTTGCAGGGATACCGTTACACTAAGTATATATATATATATATATATATATATATATATATATATATATAGAGAGAGAGAGAGAGAGAGATACATAGATAGATATACATATACATATACATATATATAATATATATATATATATATATAATATAAATAAAAGTATGTCAGTAGATTGATGCTACCTTTATGCCTAAATATGTTTGTATAAATATATATATATATATGTGTGCATATATATGCGTATATATACATATGTATATATATATATATGTGTGTGTGTGTGTGTATATATGTGTCTATATATTTGTATATATATATATATGTTTGTGTATATATGTGTGTATATATGTGTGTATATGTTTTTAGATATATATGTACATATATGTGTGTATGTGTGTATATATGCGTGTGTTTCCATACATATGTGTATCTATACGTGTCTATATGTATATATATGTATACATATATATGTGTGTCTGAATGTTAATACATATATATATATATATATATACTGTGCCTATATATATATGTGTGTATGTCTTTGTGTATGTATACATTTGAGTGTTTTGCGTGTGCATATATATATATATATATTTATATATATACGGCTGCGTGCGTTGCATATATATATATATATATGTGTGTGTGTGTGTGTGTGTGTGTGGATGTATTGATATAATCGTATAACATTACCGGAAATAGGTAGTTATTTATATAGCTTTGAAAATACGAAGAGAAACCTATAGCTCCGAGTCGTACTCTGTTTTTTCCCGTCTTCACGACTCAACAGTTAGATAAGATAAGCAAATCTCAGAAGACGAGAGCAACTCTAAAGAAAATGCCAAAAATCTTTTAATAAAAATTAATTCCATTTGATTTGACGGAGGCTCTTTACTCTGAGAGAAAAAAAACAACAACTTCCGGATTGGTTGCGCGACAGTTGCACATTTTTGACTCGATTAGTTCAGACATACATATTCATTACCCTCAAGAATGTCGACTTCTCTCCAAACAGTGCAATCTATCCTTTTTCAATGGCTGATCTCGTCTAAGATCCATCACATAAGATTTATTACTGTATATTGTTATAGATGCCTTATTCTATTATCAGGTGCTGAACATCATTTCAAGGTACATCAAAATTTATCATATATGTACCCTTTTTTAATCATTTCACCGCATGCAAGCCACCTAGTGCAAGTGCACAAGGATTTACTTAGTGTGAAAGAATAAAGAAAAAAACATTATTATGGAACGAGAACAATGGAAGAAGTTTAATCTGGAAGACGGTAGATAACGATTGACATTGTATTTAAATTTCGATGATCAAAATTGGATGGGAAGCATTGAAGTGGAAGAGAGTTCCACAAGCGAGAAATGCGAAACAAAGACCTGTTAGCATAGAACTTACGGTTGCATCTAGCTATGTCAACTGTAGCCTGATGAGACTTTGCTTCCAATCTAGTATTGAGAATAAATTCATAAAGTCTAACGAACAGTTCCTACAAACAATTAATATGAAAATATTTGCCTATATTTCTGAGATGAAGTATTATGCACATTATTTACATTATTCGGACTATTGTCCTCATCTTTGTCGCCATATTTATTACAACGTTTCAGCCGTTATACGCCCCAGCCTTCTTCAGGTGGTTGGAATGTTGAACTGAACCCTTTATTTTGCTCACTGTGGTATACTGTTCTACTTCCACGTGCCATGTTTTAATGGATGTCATTTATCAGTTATCTTGTTAATTTCCCTCTGAAAGTTCTCCACTGCCTTAATTGAGTATTGAACTCACACTTTGTGTCCTGTCACTGGATCTAACTAACGCCTTTATCCACTGTGCCATGTGTCCTTGAGGACATCCGTGTAAGATTTCTGGGTATGGTAAACCTAATGTCTTCAGCAACCATTTTTTACCAGAGCTCATATTGCATTTTTTTTTGTTATTATCGCTTTTCTCCGGCACTCCGTATTACTGGTTCCCATATTGTATTCATTTCTATGATTGGTCGGCTCAGGAAATTTTTTGGCCTAGCATATGTGCTGATTCCTTAAGTTTACGAATTTTCCAATGGTATTCTTTGTCTATGATCTCAACCTGATCCCACAGGGGGTGATCTCCCTTCTCTCTCCATATGTGGTCAGCCACGCCTGAATTTTCCACTTCCCCTCGTGTTACAGCTTTCTTGTGTTCTTGAAGACTTACCTTAGGGGGCGACCTGTTTCCCCTTTATATTTCTTTCCGCAGCTGCACAGTATAGTCTTCACACGGTCTTTAGTCATGTTCTCCTGTTTGTGGGGTCTTACTCGGAAGTGTCGTCAAGCTTTTGAAGGTTGTCCTGATGTTATATGGACCGCAGATCCGTTGTATTTTCTCTGATAACACCTTCACATAAGGCAGACAGACTGTTTTCCGAGTGTTGTTGTCCTCTTGTACCCGCCTATCCTAGTTTTTGGGGGCTGCTGCCATGTACCCAAGGTAGTTGTTACGTTGTAGGATACTACTTATACTGACTCTTTCTTTATCTAATATCTCTGGGTCGCCACTTATGAATTTTGCTCGGTGTTTTAAGCAGCGGACGATCCCTTTCTTTACGTTGTATGGATGGTGGGAGTTGAAATTGAAGTACTGTCCGATGAATTTCGGTGTACGGTATGCGGATGTCTTGAACCCATGTTCTGTTCGAGATATTAGCACATCCAGGAATGGGAGTGTGTTGTTACTCTCTTTCTCCATTGTGAACTGTATCGAAGGTCTTATTCAGTTCACATGGTCCAGTAGAACCTGAACATCTTCCCGGTGTGGCCTACTTACCTTAACCATTTAGAGACGCCACGGATGAGGCACTCTCAGTAGTCAGAGACAGATTGGCCTCTGACTCATCCCCAGAAGAACAAACCAGTATTCCAATAGGTAATCTGATGGTGATGTTGACTTTCTGAGCACAAATAACACACTTCGGAATGGGATCACATATATCTACAGGACGAAGGCTTAGAAATGGGCTCACCATTATCACCAGCAATGGCGAATATATACATGGAATACTTTGAGGAAATGGCATTACAATCTATATCTCTAAAGCCAACTAAAGTGTTCGGAGCGTACAACGGCCGAAACGTTGTGAATATGGCAATAAAGATGCGAATAACAGTCCAAATAATGTAAATAATGTAATTAATCATGATGCCTCATCTCAGAGATACAATCTCCTGAAGAAGGCCGGAACGTACAATGGCCGAAACGTTGTGAATATGGCTATGAAGATGAGGATAACAGTCCGAATAATGTAAATAATGTAAGTAATCATAATACCTCATCTCAGAGATCCAATCACCAGAAGAAGGCCAGAGCGTACAACGGCCGAAACGCTGTGAACATAGCAATGAAGATGAGGATAACATTCCGAATAATGTAAATAATACAAGTAATAAATAGACAGGTATGATCACCAGCATGAAGGACATCAAAGGTATGGGATTCGTAGTGGAATTATCAGAATCAAGCAGATGTCGAAATTTATTTATCTGAGTATTTTAATGTATGACACAGAAATTCGAAACTGTATTTGAAAAGCAAAAGGACCTTCCAGAATTAAAGCCATGTGTCAAGACATAAGAATATTTCGTTAAGAACAATAAAAGTTTGTCGAAATATTATGCCAAATCTATCCTCCTACTGAGAATGCCATGGACAATACATGCGAGCACAGTGGAAGTTTTAAGTAATGTGATAAATAGCAAACACTGATACTTAAAATAATAATTAAACAATTCATATATCTAAGACACATTTTGAGAAAGGACGACTTGTTTGGTTTCTTTTAAGCCACATCAACCTAA